TTTTCATATTGTCACTTCGCATGGATCTCTTGTCCCTTGTTTGTGGGAAGATGGTTCGCCTTGAGGATTCATGAATAACTCTACAGGACGTGTTCACATTCTGTGTCAGCTGAGGTTTTTGGCAAGGTCTGAGACCTGATCTCATGATAGGACTGTGCACACCATACCTGGACTGCTCTGGAGCAATGTGAAGAAATCAGGAATGAACATAAGTACAGTTAAAAAGAAGACTTTTTAACCCAGCCACAAACTGGAAAAATGTTTCGTTAAAATGACAGATTTGTTGGGATGGCAATGATTGATGGGGGCTCTTTAAAAGGTCCTTAACTTTCATGACTTCAATGAGATGCGCTTGTCCTCCATATTCAGTATGTCCTTAATGCTTTCTTGAGGCAGGGATGTTGTTTATTCTTTTTTTTCTGTATAATTTCTGCTGTAATTTAACCTAAAACATAAGTTGCATGCATGATGTAAAAATTTTGTGAAGGCTTTCTTGGCAGTTCCTCCCAGCATGGCAAAAAGGTGAAAAATGTCCCTTGAGCAAATCGTAACCACAAACAGCAATGTAACTGCTGGTTTAGGAAGTATTTTGTTCTTTCTGCTTTCTCTTTAGCTCTGCCTCCCTGCTGCACTACAGTAACGAATCATGAGTCATGTATTGTCTACTCCTACACAATTCACTATAATCACTTTTTCTTCTATAAGGAAGGACTGCTGGATTTCTGTCTCTACTCACTGTTCATTTTTGAGAGGATGGAAAATTGCATTAGGTTCAGCTGTAGCTGGCAGTACATAAAAGAGGCTTCAAAGCTCTCTTTCCAGAGGAGGAAGAAACCCCTCCAGTCCTGCTGAGGTCAGCAGTGATTTGAGACTTGGCTCAAACCACTGGCAAAGTATTCTCTCTCAAGGCATCTTGACTTTGCAGTGTGTTTCCTTAGTAGGTCACAGAAGTCTGCCTTTCCTCCTTCTGGAGGTGTTTCAAGACCCATCTGTTCCGTTATTTGCCCCTTCATGTCATGCCTGTGAGCAGGGATCTGAAAGGCTTGGTCTCAGTAGGTGCCTAACACAGATTCAGAACCTTCCAGGTTGAAGGCAGTGCAGGCAGATGTATCACGTGCACCTGGCACTCACAAACATTCACATCCAGGGCATCCACTTTTTATGCAGTAGTTATTACCTTGGCTGTTTCACTAAGGAGCAATTAAAGTACCTGCTTGAGTCCCACATGAATGGTGTAGCATGGAGGCCTGTGGAACCTTTACTGGTGGGAAAGCAGGGAGGTGAATGTAGATGATATGGTTTTTTTCCTACCAGATGGCTGTGTGTTTTCTGTGTTAAATTTGTGCTTGGAAGAAGAATGGGAGGCACTGGGGCAAAAATATCTGTACTTTTAGTGTTCCATTAAAAAGATCTTAATTCCTCTAAATTAAGGGAAACATTTAGAATCCCTTTCTCTCAATCTCCATTTTCTGTTGCAATGTCACATTCATTCAAACAATTCTAATGAGATTTCCAGAAGTTCCTAAGTGAAGTCATCAAGCACCATAAATTATAATGGGCGCATGTTTTCAAGGCTTCAGAAATCCCACTACATTTCCTTTCCATTTATTTAATGAATAAGATAAGTGGCTAGGGCAAGCTTCTCTTTTAATGACCCAGAATGCCAGGTTCTGAAAATCAGTTTTAGATGTTACAACTGTAATTTTCAAGGGCTGTGCAGAAAGAATTTTATTTTCTGAGGTTGCCTTTTTAGATTGTTAATCTAATATTGGGGGCCTTAAAATAAAATTTAGGTGTAAGAAAAAATTTCTTCTTTGGGATAGAGTAGCCCCAAACAACCCTTCTACTTAGATTTTATTCTGAGAAATGTCTCTAAAAGATGTATTAATATTAATAATGCATATTTCATATCTGTCTTCTCTAGGGCATAGAATTCATACCTCTGCAAAGTGGAGATGTTTATAGCACAGTAACCTTTTTGTTAAAAAGTTTAGGGGAAATCCTGATTTTTACATATGCTATTATATACTTTCACCTGTATGAAAATTAAATGTAATTAACATGATTCCTTTTAAATATTTTATAACATAATTTGGGTTTGTTAATATAATCCTATAAAAATTAGAACACTTTATAAAAGTGGTCATTATGCCTTAAATACTTAAAATATTTTTACCTAAGGAGTGTTTTGATGCTTTGAAGGTAAACCACAAAGGGTCAAAGCCTTTTATGCTATGAATGCATGGATTTGAACTAACTTTATATTCTGGGTTTCATTCTCCAGCTATGTGCAATTTGATTAAAACCAGTCTTTTTTTAAAAGCAATATTTATACAATTTAACAGTGGACAGGTAACATTGTATAAGGGTGACATTGCAGAGCAGATCAATTCAGTGTATTGCATTTCATTAAGCTTTCAGACTGTGCATAATATTTTATAATAATTTATTTTCTCAGAGGTTCAGTTTTTAAAAATTACTAGCTCCTAAATCCTATTACTTAAAATACTTAAGCATGTGTTTATGCTTGGCTTTCCTAGAGGCACATCTGGAATAAATCAGTATTTTAGTTCAGAGTGTCTTTTAGCAGGAACAAAATCGTAGTCTTTCCATGATAAAACTCTATTGATATTAAGGTAAGGTTAGTTGAAAAAGCTCAGGAGGACTGTAGGGTAAATACTATGGCTCACTGATATCTAACGCACCTGACACAGGCAGGGACACCTTCTGCTAGACCAGAGTGCTCAAAGCCCCGTCCAACCTGGCCTTGAACACTTCAGGGGATGGGGCAGCCACAGCTTCTCTGGGCAACCTGTGCCAGTGCCTCACCAACCCCATAGTAGAGAATTTCTTCCTTGTGTCTAATCGAAATCTACCGTCTTTCAGTTTAAAACCATTTGCTGTTGTGCTGTCAATACATGCCCTTGTAAAAAGTCAACCTGTGTAGTGCTTCACTGAACCTTGTTGCGAGGATCTAGATTCTTCTCTATGTTTATTAAAATTATGCATTGATAGAACTCTGTTGGCCTCAGTAGGTTCACACAGAAGGAAGAAGATCCATTTTGCAATTTCTTGGTTATCTGTTTCAGTTTCCATGTTCCTGTTATTGTTTTCAGTGTGAACCAATTCTTTGTGCATAGGGAAAATTGTTGTGGTATTCAGACATAGATGAATGTTCATGCATTTTAGGGCCTGTTTTCTAGTTCACTGAATAAAGAACAGTCTGGACTCAGGTCCTGGATTCAGCCCTGGAAATTAATGTGTGTGAACCTGAACCTGCATTTCCTGATGCAGGTACAACCTGAGCACTGAAGTGGCACAGAACTTCAATCATGCATTGAAGGATCATCATGCCCACTTATATCACAAAGCATCAGGAATGTATTAAAATACTGAATTAAAAAAGCGATTTATCTGCACCTCTGGAAATTAAGTCTTAGAGAAGATAACCTGATTCCTTTCAAAATGTTTTGGATTTCTTTTCTCCCCAAGGAAGGGGACAAGGAAGTGTTGAATACTACATTACTGTCCTTTGGTATCTTTTTAATGAATTCTTTTTATGGAATACATTTTTCCTTGTTTCTTGAACTACTGTTTGCAATATATTTGAAATACACCAAAGCCATCAGTTCTTGTTAAACCATTTATTGGGTTAAATGTAATAAACACGAAGAAGAGGAGTCTAATAAATAAGTATTAAAAAATCACCAACAATTTCAGTTCATGATCTTTGCTTCCGAAAAATCTCCTGACTCTACAAGAAAAGTTTCCTAAAAATTGTTGCCTCTGCTTTCTAGTGGCCTCTGTATGCATCCAAGTTGAGGAAGTAACTGGTGTGGTGTCCAGGCCTTTTCTTCAGCTTGTTTTGGCTCCACCTTTGCAGAGAATTCGTATGAGCTTTGAATTTCTTTGATGTATTGTGACAAATGCTGCCTTGCTCTGTTTTCTGTCCCTGCTGGAGTCTCCATGGGACTAGAGATCACATGCTACCTTAGCTTAATGTTCTTGACCTTTTTCAGACGATTGACACTGCTGAATGATTACAGCAAAGCAGCAATTATCCGCTAGCTGTGTTATGCTTATTTCAAGGAGAAAATAAATGTTATTTGAGATGAGTAATCTGGACTGTGTCTTTCTGCTGAGTAACTGTAGGAAACTTGCCTGTATTGAGTCATGATTCCTTTCCCATTTGTTCTGTTTTGTGGTACTTTGTGATTGCTTCCCTTCTGCTCTCCTCCTCCTAAATGATTTACTGTGCTCTGATCCTGTTATCCCACATCGCTAAGAGCTAAATCTTTTGGGCTTGATCAGCAACATAAAATTCCTCAGGCTCAAAGATGGTGGTAGGCATGGCAATATACCTTCTTATGTATCTTAATAAATAAACGAATGCACTCTAAGCTACCAGCAATGTATTTGTTAAGTGAGCACATAAAATTGTATGGGGATTTTGCAGTCTGGCTTTCAGGCGTTTTATTTTTTTTTTTAAGTAATCTTTCTTTTTTTTCTTTTCTTTTTTTCTTTTCCCTTCAGTTAATTTCCCACAAGAATTCTGTCAAGGTTTGGCTCATAAATAGCAATGAGTTTTGTAAAGTTCCTGTACACACAAAGCAAACAGCAACTTCACCAAATGTTCAATGCAAAGAGATCCATGTGTCTCTTCATGTTACTGTTTTGGAAGACATTTTACAGAACACCTGTCTAGCTTTAATGAAAGTTCACACACAGAAATACAAATCTGAAGAAAAAACTTTAAAAATCTCACACTGCATCATAAGGATTGTATCAAGTGTGACCTCTCTCAAGGGATTGTATACGTGTGCCACTACATCATCATTATTGTAGTCAATAACATTATGACTATGACATTAGAATAATCAATATTACATGATTAAGTAGTTCTAATGATTATTATACCACTAATGCTATTATGGTTATTAATATTGTTTTTATGTTGCCACAGCTGCTTTTTTTAAAAGGTAATTTTTTTTTCCCCATAGGCCATCGAACATTGTTCATTGGAGTTCATGTGCCACTGGGTGGAAGAAAAAGTCACCGACGCCATAGGCACCGTGGGCATAAACACAGAAAGAGAGACAGAGAGCGAGATTCAGGATTAGAAGATGGGAGAGAGTCTCCTCCGTTTGGTAAGATAAATTTTATCTTTGCATAGGTCTTTTAATAATAAACATCAGTATTGATTATGCATACTTTACCCTGTTACGGCTTGGATGCCATTACCAGTGGGGTTTTGGAGAACCCACCAGAGCCTCTCCAGTCTCTGGTGGAGAGCCAAGATTTACTCTTTTCATGAAGAACAGCAGACAATGAGAGTCAGTACATGAGAAATCTCAGTAATTTCTACCACTGTAGGAGAGTCCATAAGTGTTCTCATAAAGGCAGACCTCCACCACCATTGAGAAGGGCTGAGCACTTTATGGCACCAGCTGCCCCCAGTGAAGTCTCTGGAGTATTTGCCTCTAAAACCATAATGTGCTGGATGCTGGAGTGATGGTTCTTTAGACTTAGTTTTGTAATAATGTCCATGTCAATGGAGCTGCAGTGTTTTATCGGATGTGAACTATGATCCAGATTGTGTTTACCTTTTCCTTACATGACACCATAATGTGCCATTGTGAGATGAGTCTGCTGAGGACTTGAGAGCAAATAGGAAAAAAATACTTTTCCATTAACAAACCTGATACAAGACTCCTAAAATTCTCAAAATTTTAAATTAAAAAACATTACAGAGAACAGAAAAAGGTAGTAATGAATAAATTAGTCAAGCTTTGTTTCAAAACATATGCGGATATTATTTGCTGTTCAAAAATAAAAAGCCCATGTGCTGAAATATCCAATAAGTGTTGAAAGTATAGTAGAAACCTGTATAGAAAACAACTTGTCAGTGTACAACAGAAGAATGTTTTAAAGTCATTAGGGATATGTGCCAATATAATTTCAAGTTACAGAATAGTAATGATAAGACTTCATTTAAATCTGAAATTTGTATTATGTATGTAGAAAGATCTGGAGCAAGTAGATAATAAGTGCTGATGGTTACAGAGAATGAAACAAAGTCAAGCCTTTTTGAGGCTCAGTAGATATTGGCTGTGGTGTTTCTGTCTGGAATGTATTTCAAATTTACAAAGACCCAATACTGTACTGAATCCAGTTTCTTGTAAAACAGCAAAGTTCATAAATTATTAAAATAGTTTTCAAAAAGAATATGCATATATACGTATAATGTCAGATTGAAAAGAAACAATTGAAAGTTACATTAGACAAGAAGTGAGATATCTTAAACTATGAAGCAATGTCTTATGTTAAGTCATCTGGTTTTATTTAAGTGCCAGTATGTGACACATTTTGGCTGAGAACTTAGCTCTGTTCTTTCAACTTCTGGAGACCTAGGCTTATGTCCTTCCTAATGTCAAAATAAAAAAAAAAGAAGCCCCAAACCAGAAAAAAAACCCCAAACCCCTGAAACCACAAACCTGGTTGAATCCGTCCTTAATAGTCTTCTGACAGTTGTGCAATAAAATGCACCATTCAACACAGTTCTGTGTTGTTAAAATCAGCCTATGTTCAAGAATGCTCCAATGAGCATTCGTGAGCAAAACGCAAGTGCATTTTGAAGTGCATTTGTAAATTGTTGTTGACATCACTTTTCTGCAGCCATACTTGTTTGAAGTAACAGGACTGCACTTTTGCAAGTCACATTTTCACTTGTAAAAGTATTACAACTATGAATTAAGGGGTGTGTAGGTAACATAAACCATTATTTTTATAAGAAAGGCCAGAACACATAAGATATAGAAGTAATCTCTGGATCCAGAATGCTGAAGATGCTCTGCAAAATACTTGGGTGATAACAAGCCAAATACAGAGCTACCAAACATTCAGAAAAGTCTGGGAGTATCCAATTTTTCCACCCTGAAATAATATCTATTTAGAGAAATTTGAGGGGTTTTTTCCTTTGGCTGACTGGCCAGAGAACCAGACTTTGAGTGTTGACTTCTGTCCAGCCAGGCAGAAATGTGGCATTGCATAGACAGCAGTGGAAGGGATTTGTCTTATGAAGGTAAATCTGACAGTTATACAGTGACGGAGGGGTTGAACATAGAACAAACAGACAAAATTATACAGGGATTAATCATAGTCTATATCCACATCCTTGCTTTTACAGTGGATTTTCCTTATAGGAGTTTCAAACAGGTGGTTGTGCTGCCTGGGGAAAGGCACTTCCTTTAAAAAGAATAAAAACATAGTTTTTCTGTGTTTTTATTTACTCAGAGAGAGCAACAGATACTTCTCACACTAAATCTGAGTCCACTAAACCTCAGTAATGCTTCTTAATTCTCATCTCCTAGTGACCACAAGGTTATAACAGTATCCAGAGGCTGAAGGAAATTGCAAGGAAGACAAATACACTTCTTACTCCTGATGCATAACTTACTGTGAGGTGCTGCTGCCTAAGAGATCAGATCCAAAATAGTCCCTTAATTTGTGAATCATTCTGATTTAATTGAACACGCAGAAGTGCTTAGCTGCCTCTTCTCTAGATGCCTTTTAGCATATTTCTGTTGAATGGTGGTAGGAGGCTGTATTCTTGAGAACTGAGAGGGAGGAAGGGAAAGCAAATGTTTCAATGAGCAGGTACAAGAATAAAGACAGAGAAAATAAGCATTGTGAGCACAGCTGATAGAAAACAGTGCTTTGAGATAAGTCAGAAAAATAAATTGGATTTCTACGTACAAGAGAATAAATTATCAGTGTTTTGAAGCAGTGAAGTATGAAAGGAGCTATAATAAATGAGGCACCAACTGAATAATAGAGATGCTGTAACAAGTAAAGGCCTGAAATATTCAGAAGTGAAGGGCTCCAGACTGCTCAGTTAACCAAGCATGGGATGAAGCATTATTTTTTTGTCATAATCTATAACTTTGTAAGTTATAACTTCATCTGTGAAGTACCATTAGGTGCAGATCTTGCTCTGCTATTATTGCTTCAGGGAGCTGTGCAGTACATAGTGCTGTGGGACCGTGCAGGCCCCAATCAGTGGACAAGTGCCACCAGGTTCCTATCCAGTGACAAACAATTTCTTAAACAGTTTTCTTTGCATCAGCATGGCTAGAAAACACCTGTATTCAGTGTAATGCCCATGGCTGGAAGTTCATGTTACTTTCTTTGAGTCCTGTCTGGGAAAGCGGTACCAGCTGCTGTCTGAGATAAGGTGTTTGCAGAGAACAGATTTTTTAGAGCATTCTGACGGCAGCTCATAGGCTTTTTTCTTGATCTCCTACTGTCACTTTTCAAAGGTACCCTGAGTATTCTCAGTGTGCTTGTAGATTCAGAGCTTGTAGACAAATAATACATAGAATATATAGGTAATGTGCCCTTTTAGGGCACAGATCAGTTACTCAAGTTTTATTTCTGTTTTCACCACACCTGATTCTTCTTGTCTGTCTGTTGCCTCCTGATGAGATGAGGTTGTGCAAGGTGTTTCCATTTTGCCATAATGATGTGTCTTTGAATCACGTAATTTGCAGATTACATGGCTTGCTCATGGAGAGGCTTTTTTGGGTAGTAAAAATTCAAAGCGGAGTGATTTCATTATTCTGGATTTCCACCAACTTGCCTCACAATTTTTTGGAAGAAAAAGAGAAAGCCAGTGAAGTTACTCACTCTAGTTAAAAATGCAGTAACACTATTTGCTTTCTTGAAGGGGTTTACTGTTTCCAGCTGAAATGCTGCTGTTGTAATTAAAGACCCAGTTTCATGACCCCTTTAAGCTTCCCCCTCCCCCCCCCCCCAGCTTTTTGTGTGGGTCAAGTGTTTCAACTGCTCTGTGAATTAAATTAGGGAATTGATATAAATTAAAACTAGTTTGGCAAAAAAAAAATAAAATCTGTTTGTAGCCTAGAGTAGCTCCTTGTGTAGCTTGTTGGAAGGGCAAGGTGGGCTGCATGGCCACAAGCTGGCTGGGACTGCTCCATCAGTGCTGTGGGTCATGGTGGTGCTGAAAGTCTGCAGCAGATTTCCCTTTGGCTGTTTAGGTTGCACTTGCTCAGTATGCACGTGGATTTTAGTGGCAATATTCAGTATTTTCTTGATGTCTGGTTATTTTGCCTGTAATCAGTGAAACTGCTCATGTACTTCCACTCATGAGTTAAAGATACGTTTCTGGTTTAAAATGGGCTGGACAAGGAAGACTTTAGCTCTCAGCAGGGTGTCTTTAAGGACAGGTTTTGTAAGAGTGAAGTGAACACAGCTGTGGATAGTGGGGTTTGATTTCATTCTCCTGTGGTGTTTTCCAGGACTAGATACTGTTGGGGCTTGTGCAAGGTTTGGGTTGTTCTTTTAAGAAATCTGGCTTTAATAATCTCCAGTTTTAAAGAGGCTTAAATTTGTAATTCATGCTATTGGATGTGGCAAGGGAAGCTGAGAAGCTCTGGAGGTGGTGCTGACAGAAGACTCTACGCACGGTTCAGAAAAGGCTCTTTGAAGGTAATGCAAATAAAAATGAATTGCAAAGGGGAACTTCTCTTGGTTACTAGAGGGGCTTGAAGAAAACGTAATAAAAGGACACAGCTGGCAATTTGGTAGCTAACCTCAAATGTTGAAGGGGTATTAATGGGGCAAATTTAATTATTTGTAAAGAATAGGGCTGTTAAGAGAAACTCCAAAGCTTAACTATAGGCTTTGTCTGCTGAACAGTGGAATTAGAAATTTGAATCTCTGGGCAGGTGTGGAACAGATTGCAGGAAATCTGGATTAATATAAGGTATCATAACTTCAGTTTTCAGAGTCTAGCAAAAAGATGATAACTGAAGCTTGGGAATTGCCCATATTGACAGATCCAAAATATAAGATTATTTGTCATGGCCTTGATGTGATGGAAACAATTAATGGGAAGAAAATGCAGAGAGAGCTTCCTGCAACACAATTATACATATAGGGCTGAAGTCCCAGAGGAGGAAGCAAGGGAATACTTTCTTCCATTTTGTCTATGATGTTTGCTGCCTTGTGTGAACTTCTGTAATATAAATCTTATTTTAATGTTTAACATGTTTTTGAATGTAGAAAAAGTTAATTTTCACTCCTACATTTACTGACCCCAATAAGAAATACTAGCCCACTAATACTTCCCTTAAATGAAGGCTCTCAGCAGGCTTAGAAATACAGAAACCTGTTCTGACAATTGAGCTAATAGACTTACCAGAAATACACTTTTGTACGCTTTCTGGAGCTTACGAAGGGCAGAGGACAAAAATTGGATATATTTTTCATGTGTTTCTGATTGTGGTATGGCTTGGACAGATTGTGTGCAGTTCTGAATGATGGCGGGGTGGTTTGTCTCAGGGGAAATCCTGGTGTGCGCTGAGGAGGAGGTGTGGATCACTCCAGTGCAGTGGAGCAGGTTGTTTGCTGGGATGCATTTATGTGGAGGGGCAGAGAATGATCCTGCTTTCTTATCTCAGAAACCTTGTTCCGTTAGGCGAGAGGGAGCAGTCCTGACCCAGAATTGTGGTTGCACTTGCGGATATGTTAAAGGGGAAAATGCCAGTTACGGTTCTTTCCTACCTGTCTTTTGCAAAGTGTGATGGTGATATAGGCCACTGTTCCCCCTACCTGCATGCAGCGCTGTTCCGGGGAGCAGCTCATTGTGTTGCCCTCTGGGAGTCAGGTTATTATCATTTCTGGCTTTCAGTTCAGCAATTTTGGTCTGTCTGTGCCCATATCTTGCTTTTGTTTTAGGGATGCTAATGACTTTACGAAGAGCCTGTGTAGTGAGCAGTATGTCAGGTTGCTGCAGAGTCATTTTTCTGTGGCTCTGAATTCCAGTGTGAATTTGTGGTTTTGACAAGAGCTTATGCACCAGGCCTTAATTTTTACCCTTTTGACAATGCAGTAGAGTTATACAGATTTTAAAAACTAATATATTCAGGTTTTCTATGCATGCAATGAAGTTGATGTATCAGAGGTAGTTTGGGTATCTATGTGAGTGCTGCACATACGATGCAAATGCAAGCCCAGAGGAACACGAAGTCTGGCAGGAGGCTCCCATGGTGGAGCCACAGCAAACAGAAGCTGCTTTGGCTTTTCCTTATTGAGATGGCTCATTGGCTCATTAGCCAAGCATGGGTTGTTGTTGATGGTACTCCTGCTCCTGTCACGTACCAGACTTTGTGCCCAGTCCCAGCTGATCCTGGAGGATTTCCTGAGCTGGTGATGGGCTATTTACTTGGGAGAATTAGCAGCTGCTTACTGTGGAACTCGAGTTCTAATTGCTTCTAATACCTCTGTGCTCTGATATAAAATAACTGCAGTTATAGAAATACTAATGTAAGAAAGGAATACCAGTTATTTATTTTAGTTTTTTTTAGCTTAATCTAGATTACTTTCATTATTATTTAGAAATAGCAATAATAATATAAAGGATTTTTTTAATGTTGGCTGTACTTCTTGAAATAGGGATAGACACAGGTGGTATTCAAGCTGATTTCTGTTTTCCCAGACTTCAAAAACATTGAGTGTCCTAAATTGCAAATATTATGCTTCTAGATTGAGGATTAAGTTATCATGGTTTGACAGTCAGCAATTGAAGTATTCTTTCATACTGTTTTTGAATCATAGATTACTCATTTTCCATATAATACATTAATGACATATTTGGTATTTATTACTCTGGTGAATAAGAGCCAAATCCATCTGGCATTGCTCACATGAGTAATCCTGTTAACTCAGTTTTACAAGTAGAACCAACAGATTTTCTTTTTTAATTTTACTGTTTTCCTATTGTTTAATTTTCTTAGGGGTTTGCCCTTGAAATAAAATTATTGTACTATGAAGCAAATAATAACTTCTTTTTTTTTCCCCAGCTTGGCATCTGAAACTCCACCTCTGGTTTACAGGCTTCAGACACCAGTACAAATTACAGCAGCGAAGAAAGTTAGCCAGAATCTAGAAGATAGTTTTGTCTTAGAGAGGATGAAAATAATTCAGTGCATATTTTAACATATATGTAGGTTCTTCACTGTTGTCAGTGCAGTAGCTGTGTTACACAGAAGACCCAGTAAGAACAGATCACAGTAGTAACATGTTTCCTTGTTACTGCTCACCTGACTTCAAGAGATTTCTGATCCTCTGCTTTCCTTGCCATGCTGAAAGTGTGCATTTGTACGAGTATCATAACTTTCATAAAACGGCAGCTCTGCTGCACAACACTACTCATTTATTACTTAATAGTAGCTGTTGCTCTAAATCAGTTCTAGTGCTGATTTTATCAAGAGTACAGGATGTTCTTGGCAATGCTTATTCTCAGATTCTCACTGCAGTCCAGCTCTCTACCAAAGCAGCTTGTTCTCCATGTTCTGTCACTTCTCATGTGCACTTGCCCTTTGCAAGTTCATATGTCACTGAATTTTTTCCTTTTGGGAAATAATCTTAACAAGTTGCACCCTTCTTGACCAGAATATGCTATCTAGTCTCGGATTAAATCTTGATGTTTGTGTATACTTTATCCTTCTCCAGAACATACCAACATGTGGATATGAAGAACATAAAGAATTAAAGAAATCCCCAAGTAAATAGAAATATGTAAAGAGAGGCTGGAGGGGGTCTAGAACAGAGGTTGAAATGGTCTTAAAGAAAAAAGAGGACTGAAGAGAAGAGAGAGAGTAACAAAAGAAAGGGTAAAGTGAAGGAGGTTATTGCTATTCTTCAATGATTCTCCACAAGTAATTTCTGTCCCCTTGCCTGTCCTCCTTCAGTTTCCATCCTCTAAAGCTTAGTAGTATCTGAGCCTATCTTTCTCTCCTTTCTGTCCAGTATTTCTTCCTGGGTTTCATTTCCTTGCTTTGTGAAGAAGTAAGTAGCCTTGAACGTACCATATCTTTACACTCTGCTTAAGCAAATAGACCTTATGTGAAAACTGTCAGGTACTGTTTGTATTTTTTTTTTTTTTTGCTATAGCAAATTTACTACTACCAAAGAAGGTATCTTTACTGCTGAATTTAATCTTCTGAATTGGTTGCCCATTTAATTATTTTTGCTTAGAGCTGTATTTGCCCTTCAACTAGCATTTGGTGAGTCTATTACCTCAGTTTTTCCAAAATTCAGAGAGCTTGAGGATCCTATGCGTTGATGCTCATCACTGGTAGATGGAAAATACTGTAGGCTGTCTTACAAATACAGTTGTAGAACAGAACTTCATTTAGAGAGTGTTCAAGGAATTGCTGAGCTGTTCTGCTGGCTAATCAATTTTTCAGTTGACTGGCAGCCTGGACCCTATCTGCTCTTGCAAAGGGCTTTTGATTCCTCTTAGAAATATAAAATACATTAGCACAAAAAAGAGCTGTGTATTTTTAGAGAGACTGTATTTCCTCCAGAGCTTGTTCATTTGAGATTTACATCTAAATAAATAGGATTTTATTTTTTTAAAAAGACTTACAAAATTTGAGCTATGAACACTGAATATACATGTATGTTAAGGTGCCTTTTGAGTTCCTGAAATTTTCTGAGTGATGTGAAAAACGAGTATTATTTCTCTAAAACGCATTTAGTGTTCTGCACTGAAAGGTTATGAAGAAAAATAACTGGTAAAGGGAAGACAGAGATAGGAAGAATAAAATAGAGAAATTGGGATGGATAAATGACTTCTTCATTTGTAACAGCCTAACCATGTAGAAACAGTTTACAAAGGTGCAGGGGAGTGGTAGGTGTGTAGATGGTGATGTATTCTTGTTGAACTTCCCAGTGTATATTGACATTATAGAGCTTTTTTTCTGGTTTCTTTCTGCAGAAAAGGTAAAACAAAGAATGTACATTTAGTATACCAGCTTTGTGAGCTGAGCTGGATCTGTAGATTTAGACTTAAGATGTGGCAGAGTAGTTGTAACACTGGAGTAAAAGAGTTTTCTCAGCAATATCTATGCTGCTATCTGTGCTATTTTCTGTGAGATACCATTCCAGCTTCTAATAGTCACTATTTCTGTACATCACATTCTATCTTTAGATGAGATTGTTTAATTAGCAGACTAGACAACTATGATAAATAAAGAGGCCTCAGTCTGAAGGTGTTTGTATATGAATATTTTTACAGTATAACTATAATCATGTTTTCTGTGTGGCACTAAGTGATAGGGGTGAAAGAGTCTTGATAATCTCATGAAATTTTAAATATTTGCTTGCTCAGAAAAATAAAAATGGTGTTCTGGAGTTTATATTTTTATTTTTCCCCAGATACCCCATCACAAAGGGTGCAGTTTATTCTGGGTACAGAAGACGATGATGAGGAACACATTCCTCATGATCTTTTTACTGAGCTTGATGAAATTTGTTGGCGCGAAGGAGAGGATGCTGAGTGGAGGGAGACAGCAAGGTGAGTGTTTTTGTGAGTTTTAAAAAATTATCTGTAGCTATTGGTTGCTGGCATATTGAGGAATGATTTGAAAGCTTTGGCGAGATCAGGAACAGATTTTGGATATAAAGCTTAAATGAAACCATAATTTTAATCCTTGGACTGCTAGTATTACAACCGTATTTGTTGTTTCCCAGAGCCAAATGTTTTGATCTGGATTTATGAAATATAGGTCAGAGTGAATATCAAGGGAAAAAATATCAAAGTAAACATACCATCTATATATATAAATAAAAAATTAGTGATTTTATTAATATTTTAGCTCATCATTTTGAGAAACTTTCAAACTTCATATTCTGTTTGAATCCTCAAGAAACAGATAAAATTATCATTATAAAAAGGTTGAAGTGAGGAATGAGATTACTTTGGAGCAGTAAAATTTTTACATATTCTAGCTATCAATGAACAGTTGATTTTGGGACTTTGAGAATTCAATGTTGGATTATTTTCTTTTTGTTTCTGGTTGTATGAGGTTTTTATTTCCTCTCCCCATTTTTTGGATTTTGTGAGAAACTACGTATGTGGGCTTCTTAGAATGAATATGGCTGGTAGCTTCCCTTTAGTTTTACTGCAAATTCCAGGTTTCCAAGAGGGACACAGAATTTTCTATGACCTTCACTTTCCTTATCTGTCTATAAGAGGCATAGACATATGCTAAATATAGACCTTAACATGTACAAAATTCTCATATGGGGGTTGTGCTGCAAAATGAATGTAGTAATGTTCCTAACTAATCTTATTAATATTCAGAGAGAGTAAATCTAATCAAGTTAATCATCTGCAGTGTTCTCATACTGATTAAGAATATATAGAACCTTCCAAGAAGGGTATCAGCTTCTACTGTGATTAAAAATAAAAATCACCGTGGCTTAAGCTACTTTTAGGTAGGGAAAAAAGCTTCTTTAGTTCAACTAAAAAAAAACAACAGTCCTTTGCAGAATTGTGTTTCTGAAAAATGAGAACAATTCTTATTAACATAAATAAGATAGAATTTGAAAGGAATAGGTGAAATAAAGGGTTTTCTGTCTGTACAAAGGGATTGATCTGTCTATATGTACAGTCTTTCCAGTTGTCATTTGGGAACTAAAGAATCAAAAATGTTTAACAGGAGCAAGATGAGATTGTTGAAAAAGGACATCAAACCACAGCCAATAAAACTATATTCAGAAAATACAAAAGTGAAGTATAATAGCTAATACTAAAAATTTCTTTAACTTTAGAAATAAAATGAAAATAAAGAGTTTGGTTGCCATGCAGAAGGAACTGGTCAAGATAAATAATATTCCCTTTGGATCCAAAAATTGCAGACAGCATTTGACGTGGGGTGGCTGGCTGTTAGAACAGGAAGAGATGGCAGTGAAATAACCAAATTCAAAACTAAGACAAGGGTCAAAGTGATTTATCTGTGCAAATAAGAGGGTGCAATAATTTCCATCATAGAGAGATGAAAGAACATGTATTTCATGAATATGGTAAATTCTGTCTTCCTGTGAATCTCTCAGGTGCATTGTTGTACTATAGCAAATGCAGCAGCACTGTTCAAAAAGAGATAAAATTGGTTGGGATGAACAGAAGTCAAGATTTTGGAGCTATGCAGGGCTTAGAGCAATATGTGAAGGAAAGAATAATTGTAGACTTGGAGCTAAGTGGAAAATTGGATCAAATGCAATACAGTGGTGTATCATGTCAGACTAACAATAATGCTATTTAATCAGATAATTGATTTTTGTTTTTCTGACAAAGAAGAAACAGTGGATCTTTATTTTAGTGAAGTATTTGATATGATACAGCAGTGGGAATTTATTACTTAAACTGTTCTAGTGTAAAATTGTATTAGTGGGTAAGGAACTAACTGAACAGGTGCAGTAGGTCATGCTGAAAGATTAAACTATTGGTGTGGAAGGTAGTGTCAACTAACTTCTGAAGAATTAGTCTTCATAAATAGCTTTATTCTTGAATGACAAAACTAGGACTGTAGTAATGAAACTTGCCGATGGTAAGAAATCGGGAGGTATTGTTACTCTAGAAATAAATAAGGATATCATACACAAACAGCAAAGAGACTTTGAGTAATAGAAATGGGATGGTGTTCAATATGCAAGATTGTATACTTAGAAACTAATACACTGGATCCCTTTCAATTTCAGTGGTTGATTCAGGATTTCAAAGGTACTAATGTGATTAAAAGCGTGACATGGAAAGGATGGACCCTTTGTTGCTCTTCCAGCCTTATTACATGTTTTCCACCTGTGTGAAAAATGCCACTAGCAGTATTTGTAAATCTTATTGTCTGACATCGGACATAATGCCATGTAGATGAATTAAAATTCAAAGGATAGAGGTCATTGTGTTTAATGAGAATGATGGCACTAAGTGATTCTGTATTCATTTCACCAAGCTCTGCATGAAGGGTTGGGTTCACTCTGATGCAGTAAATCTGCATCTTCATATTTTCTGTTTGATTGAAAGTGCACAAACAGTTCAGGTTTAAAATAAAAAAAAAAAAGGTTTTATGCTGTTTGCTCAAGATATTTGGGACTTTTTTTTCTTATTTGATCAAAATAGTAACATATCAAAGGGAACCATGGATAGGATTTGACCAAAGCTTGGTGGTTTCCCCCCCCCAACCCTCAACATCTCTCATGAGCAAAAGCATTCCTGCAGATTAATTAGTAAGAACAAGCACTCTGCTGTTGCAGCCCATTCCATTCCAGGATCTATTTTAGGCTTTCCTATCCATGGAATGACTTAGTTATGTGGATACAGTAATAAAATTTACTATTTTTCCCCTCATTAATTGATTTCAAGCCAGAAGAAACATTCTTATAAAATCAATAAAAATCAGTTTTGATTTTTTTTTTTTTTTTTGTGTGGGGAATGCATGATGTTTCTGTTCTGAAAAAAATTTCTCCAGTAAGTTTGTAGAGCAGCACATTGACACAAACCAGTTGTACTTATTTTATACACACAATAGTATAGTTGCAGATTGCAGCTATTAGGAAAGCAGTTCATGTTAAAATCTATCCTAATAACCTCTTGTGATCATTGCTGGAAAATAGCGCCTGATTTGTAGCAAGTTTTACCCAAACTGTTAGGACTTATCTGGTAATATAAAATGAAAATTTTGGGGAGAATATCACTATGTTTCTGGAAAGAAAAGAATGTATAGTAGGAAGAAAATAGACACTTTGGAGCCAACAGGAAAGTGTTTAGGCTTGAATTTTAATGCCCAGTTATGAAAATAAACTTCTGTCCATAGTTAGAAAGTAAATTATTAATAGTGAGTACAGAAGGGATGTACTGGGGAAAAATTATGAAGTGAAAATGCATCTTCACTGGATCAGAACTTTCCTCAAAGACATTAAGTCACAAAAAACTTAGGTTTGTCAATTCTGTTTTGTCTCTGATGTGCTTGTTTATTTTCAAATCGGGGTAGGCAGGCAAAAACTCATGTGGAGATTGTAAGATTACATTTATACATTGACTCTTGAGTGGTTTGTGGGTGTATACTCCAGCTCTTTGCTGCAGACAGAAAAGACTATAAAATAGATCATGTTAAAGTCTCCAGCTTTGTGTTCTGCACAGTTAGAAGAAATGGAATGCATCAGGAATGGAGACTATATGCTGGTGATGAGTGGGGTCACTGAAGTAGTGGTTGCTGGTAGGGTGGCCTCAGGAGGGGAAGAGTCTGGTACACAGGGACTGAAAAGAGAGAATTGTCTAGAATACATGTACATGGGCATATTTAACAAGTAGGAGCAGAGCTAGGCAGGTGGGCTGGGAACAGAAGAGGCCAGTTGTGTTTGGTGTGTTACTGCGCTGCTTGGTAAAACTGGAAATTGCTTAGCTTTCGAGGTCCTAAGGCTCTACACTTCCCTGCTGTCTGGAAATAAGTGTGAAGGTGCTGTCAAGGTGTGAGGCTCAGCTTGACTCCTCTGCTGCCTGGTCCATATGAAATAGCTGAGTGCTATTGTGTCAAGTGACAGAGGCTTGTGCTGTGGCTGCAGCTGTTCAGGCCTTGCCAAGCTGGCAGGCTGTATGGCTCCGCACAGCAGCATCTGTGTATGCTTGAAAGACTTAATAACTTCAATTTAAAACATTTTTGCATATGTTAACAGACTTTTTTCTTTTTTTTTTTGTTTGTTTGTTTAGTATTCTTTTATCATTTTTAATGTAATTTCAGTCAGTAAAAAATTGAAACGTCATACAAGAGATTAATCCAGCTGGCTATTAAAAAAAGACTCGATCCTCTCATGCCAGTTTCATGTTGTCTCTGCAGATTTACATGGAACCTGAGGAGAATGAGACTCAGAATAGTGAGATACGATATTATTGGTGTCTGAAGTGATATTTCATGCCATTCATGTGACTGTTTTACCTTAATAAGGCCTCAATTGGGGCTTGAAAGACTTCACAATTGTTTAAACATTGCCTGTGTGTACTTGTATGTGCCTGTGAGGTTTTTCATTTTAATTAACTTTTACACGAAAAATAGTCTAAATTTTGCATGTTTAAACTGCCTTTATGATTAGCTTAGTGCAGGTAAGTAACTAACAACTTAAACCAAGTTCATAATAGGCTTTTGTGGTAATGATACTGGACGCAATTCTGTGAAGCGTGAATATGTCAGTATGTTTACTTTAAATGAAAGGTGTCTCTTTGTTATATTTAGTCCAAAATGAAGCCTAACTGGAGAAAGTTCTATCCTGTGTTCTTATGATGTATAGCTTTTCTTTTTCTCTACCAGAAATTCTCGATTTTTTCATACTACTTGTTCTATTATGGAAATATCATTGTATGCAAAAGATTTGCTCAAATCTTCTGTAAAATACAGTAATGATTACTTAATATGTTTCTCTTTTAAATCTGTGTGATCAGAATTTATCTTCAAAAATGGTATAAAGCAGCATTATATAGGAAGAACCAGACAAAGGAAGTTTATAATATTTCCTACAAAGGGAGAATAAAGTGAAATTCAGACACATTTAACAGTGATCTTTCAGTATCCGTGGAAGTAATTGATATTTAATTTCTTATGAACAATGGAGTTGTAAAATTGGTTGTTTGTACAGGTGGTTGAAATTTGAAGAAGATGTAGAGGATGGTGGAGAGAGGTGGAGCAAGCCCTATGTTGCCACGCTGTCGCTTCATAGCTTGTTTGAGCTGAGGAGCTGTATCCTGAATGGCACAGTCCTTTTGGACATGAGAGCTAATTCCATAGAAGAAATTGCAGGTAAGTATTGATGCTGCATTTATTAGTTATGAAAATAATTAAAATGCTTACAAGATAACTGTTGTGTAATGATCAGTTCAATCCTAGGAAATATTTTACTCATATATTAGAAAATATATTAGAAAAGAATTAATATCTGACACAACTAGTAAATATTTATATTTTTTGTATAAACTTTGCTATTTACACAATCAGTTTTTATGTAAAGGGGAACATTAAAATGAAACAGAGTGGACAGTTGAGATATATTTCTGTATTTCTCTGGCATGTTCTCTGCTCTTGCTGTGACACCTCACATTGTGAATGATGAGTGTGCTAGCTTCCACAAACTTAATCTATTGCTATGCTAATTGCAGACATTCAATCTTAAAAAAATATGTGGGAAGTGTGCATCATAATTATGTAACACAGTTTAAAAACCATGTCTCTGAATTGAGAATAAAACCAAGAACAGTAATATAAAGTGTAAGTTTTAAAACAATTTTCAGGTACATTAATTTATTTAACTAAAGTTGAGTGGGTTTTCCCAATAAAGGTGTATTTGGCAGTTGCAATTCTAGAGCTTTTGAGAACCGCAAAAGCAGAAAGCAAGAGAGAACATAATGGATGATTCTTGTCTTCTAAGAGTATGAGTGAGATTGAGACTGAATGCCATTTACTGTGTTCCTGGTGTTTCCCATAAAGGTTATAACTAGTTAACTGCAGGGGCCTTTTTTCATGGCAGTGCATTTGTACTGTAGTGGAATAGGTTGTTATGGGCTGTATAGTACAGACCTGTAATAGATGGTCTTAGGGAGTCTGAGAACTACAGAAGTTGCATAGCTGTGTTAGAATCATGCAGTAGTCTGGTATATTAATTTCCCTTTCTAAATACAGCAGCTAATTAGAATTAGATAACTTACAAATAAATTTGTTAGTAGACAAGAACTGAACATAAGTAGGTTCTCTAGTCTGTCAAGACAGGGATAATATATGTATTATAAGCATACTCGCATTAGACTTTAAAACTCATCATTAAAAAGTTAACACCCTGTCCAAGGGTTCATGTGCCCTAGAGGGTTTCTAGTGCTGTGTCCTTGCTCCTGTTATTTAAAAATCTCTGTCCCTTCCTGCAGAGAAGACATAGAGCAAAGACCAGTACTAGTTTGTAATCGGTGGTCTCTAATTTTCTTTTTATTTACCTTTAGTATGAGCTAGTCTCACACTCGTGGTGGTTACTGGACTGGTTTCCTTACATAGCTTACATCTACTTGAAAGTTTTTCCTTACTTCTACCTTTATTTCACAACTTTTCTGAAAATGATGCTGTGTCTGTAAATCATACATTTGACACTTTATATGAATTACATGAATCTTGTTATTTAATACAAATACTGTATTAGATGTATGGTATGCTCTATACTGCAAACTTTGCTGGAAGATCAAACATGACAGAACAGGTGTAAATTTGGGAAGGACCTGCACAGAGAAATGGTGCATGAGTGGCCGTCGGGCCCTTTTTGTTGCCTTGTCACAATTGCAAACTAGCATGTTAACAGAGAGCTTAAAATACACAAATAAAATTAGTGAACTTTTGTTTAGGTAGAGGTAAAAAAGATATCAAGAAAAAATTCTAAAGTTGTCAGGAAAACTGCTTTACGGGTGATATATGTCTATGTAAGGGCCAGGTAAAATTTTAGTTATTTACATTATCAGGTAAGGGGGATATTGTTCAGTGGGCTATATTTAACAGTGGAGTTAAAATTGGCTCAGGTAGTGGTAGATGCTTTTTGCCTTTACCTTTCCCAAATTGTTTATGTCAAACTGACGCAAGATATTAATCCAAATCTGCAGAAACTTGTGTGGGTTTCTGTTCTGTGTTGAGAGCCGATTCTCCCATGAATCACGGTCTGAATCAGAGCTTGAAAATTTGTCTTTATAAAGATAAAAGATAAACATGAAGAATAAAAAGCAGATGATCCGAAAGAACAAAAGTTTATCAGTATAGAATCATAGAATGGTTGGTCCCAGTATGCTGCTTTATTAATATTTTTAACAATCAAGAATTACTTAGGTCAGCTGCTTGATATTTTTATTTTTTTTGCTAAAATAGCACATTAGAATTTTCAAGCTCAAGCTTTACATTTTTAATCCAGAAATCTCAACTTCTTCTGTAGTCAACTAAGAGATCCCTTCCAAAATTATTTTAAGTAGATAAGAAGTAAGGATTAATGCAATAAAAATAACCTCAACAAACTTCTGTTTTTTTTCCTGGTTTTGGAAGATACTGTATAGTAAGACCACAATGCATTCAAATTTATTATCTTTTAATCCCTAGTTATTAGCTATAGTAATTTTGTTTGTTTGTTTAGTTAACGTGTCCAAAGATTTGAGTATCCACAACAGTATCTTGATTAGGAAAATGTGTTCTGAGAAGAGGCTTTAGGATGACTTTCATGAATGGGCATGTGCTATTTTCACTTTAAAAGTACCCATTGTTTTGTTAGATTTGGGTGTATTTTGTTTGTTGCCTTATTTGAACTGGTAGGCATGCCTTTCTGAAGGTGATCTGACATACAATAAATTTGCATGGGTCTTGCTTTGTCTGTGACAGAGGATTCCCACTACTCTCCTCTCCTGCCCCCCCCCCCCCCCCGATTCAATACAGAATGATGTAATTATTTTGCAGCAGGTTCTTCTGGCAAGTGAATCAGTCTGTAAATTGCCCACATTCTGCGTTAGGTTTCTTTGACCAGATTTCTCCCCTTGACCCCGTGGAATAAGGCTTCTGTTCCATTTGCTTTTCTCTATTATTTTTATTTGTCTTGTAGTAGTGCTGTTTTCCTCTTCCTCAATCAAGTTCTTTTGTAATTTGTTAGTCTAATGCTACATATGTAGTTCATTCTCTTCAGCGCTTACAAAATGTTACAAACAGTGTAGCATACATTAAGCAGTGCTGGGAGGAGGAGACTAATGCAAGTGGTGATCATATGCCACCAAGATATGTGTGCTAGGTATGTTAGAAATTTGGTTCTTCCAAATAGTATGACAGGCTGCTCTTTTTCCTTATAAAGGACTACTGGACCTAAAGATTAGACAGAACTTGTATTTCTCAGGAAATCCTTTCTTGTCTGTTCTACTCAGTTACTATTCACTGCCAGTAGTTACAGTCCTACGTATTGCGTGCTTCACAGTACAAACATTGGTTTCAGGTCTTGCTGTGTATTGCAGTTTGTATCTGACAGTCTCAACACTTTAGAATGTAAAGAAATGGTTGGTCTCATCTGTTGGCTTAATTGTTTTTTTTTTCTACCTCTCTGCTTGTTTTGCTTGCTAGCCATTCTCACGGTTGCTACTCCAGTGATACTGAAGGTTGCTTTTCGTTGTTCTTTTCAATGCTACTATATATACCACATGTAGAAGAATTTGCCAGAATAGATTATACCATGTGGTCTTAAATGTTACTCCTAAATGAACTTCCGTTCTTGTACTTCTGGTTCATAGTTTATTATTATGGGGTTTGTTTTTTTTATGCAGTTTGTTGACAGTTTTACTGCATTATATAGCGCATCATATCTTTTGAGAACAAATAAATAATTTTGCACATGTACTTGCTTTATACTTAACACTTCGTTAGGAAGAAAAATGCGTGTTGTGTATTTGTTGATAATGTCTTGCTATCTGGGCTATATTCCAATATCAAAGTACATTTCTGCAAATGTAGTACCAGTCTTTGTATCCTTGAAAGAGGTGTACTTAATCTTCCTTGCTAAATTGAGACAAAGAATTCCTATTTGTTTTAGTCAAGGCTTTTAATCTGTAAACACTTACTAAGGCATTAAACTCTCAGCACTTAGCCCTTGAAAATTTCTTTTATTAAAGCCTATGTTTTAAGACCTTAATGGGCTTGTGGCAAAATCTACAGATAAAAAATGTCTTTTATACTGTTTGCATGGCTCCCAGAACGTTTTGTATTTCATCCCTGGAAACTCTGATAGCTCTGCATAAGAATATTTTGGCACCAGTGATGTGGTGAGAATTTTTAAATCATCCCATCTTCCAGCATGTCCATTCTTTATTAGATTCATTTTCTTTCAAACTGTGTTATTAAAAAATGACTTGGTCTACAAGTATATAAATTTCTTTGGACAGTCACCCAGTTTTCTTTGTCGATAAAAGCTTATTTGTACCTATGATGCTGAATTCCCACTCACAATGTAATAGAGACTTCTGAGATAAATTTCCAACATTGTCATCGTGCAGCAAACCAGCACATTTATTCTTGAAGTTTCTTAAATATTTTAAGATGGATTACACTTTTTCCTTGAAAAGAGCTCAATTCCTGTGTTGAATTTTTCCTGTTTTAAAATGCGCTTTTTATTAAACATATTTTAGAGGTTTTTGTTGCTATTTTTAATATGCGACATTCTTTTTTTCATGTCTTTGCAGTGGCTCCTATATCAGTAAGCTAGCACTCCATGCACAAGGAATTCCTTTGAACATTTGATGTAGTAATATTTTATCGATCACTTCTGTATAGAACATATGCTAAAAGGAAGTCTGAAAAATCTATGTAATCAAAACAATTTATTTTGGAACTTGTCTCTTGAGGAGGTATTTGCCAGAGTCTGGCTGCACCATTAGAGAGCAGCTTCACAGTGTTGTTCAAGTTGGCAGATTAAAATGTTCTCTTTTGATATTTTCATTTAATTCCTTTGAAACCATGTAGATTCTCAGATTACCATCTGTTTTTTGATTGTAACCACTGAATGAACCCAAAAGGTTCTTCTACTTAACATATGATGCCATTTTCTGCTGTTTGGTTCAAAAACTGCTCGGTCCAGCCTTTAATGGCAATACTTTCTTTACAATATGAATCACAGATCTTGCATTTTCTTGGTAGTTGTGCAGAGTGTACTGTGAACAAATGTCAAACCTTGTCAAATATAAACTGTGGCCTCAGCGTTGCACAGCAGTGCTTTGAGAACTAACGCATGTTTCAAATATTAGATAGTCCCACTT